AGGGAGGCCGGGCCTGGGAAGCTGGGAGTAGCTGCCAGGGGTGAGGTGGGAGGGAAGGGTCGGAGACCCTCAGCCCACATGTGCTGGGTGGCTGGAGAGGGACAGGATGTGAAAGCAAGTGAGAGACAGGCGGAAGCAGAGATGGGAGACACAGTGACAGAAGGGCAGAGAGACGGAGACTGGCAAAGAGACACACAGAGAGCGTCCCCCTCACTGTGAGAGATGTGGGACATGGAGGGCGAGAGACAGAGACAGAGGGAGATGGGGAGAAGGCTAAGAGGGGCAGACATCTGGGGCTGAGCCGCTGGAGGGCTGGGGGTCCTCTCGGTCCCCACCCCAGGTCCCCTGTTCTCTCTTTCTCGCAGGCCTGTCGGTCAGCTTTCTCTTCCAGCCAGTGTAGAGCCCTGGGGTCACACGGTGCCCTGTCCTAGGACTGGGGTGCCCGAGGGTGGGGCACCTAGGATGGTTCTACTGGGACCCGGCGCCCTCTAGTGAGCGGTGGGGGAAGGACAGCCAACTGGGCAAGATGTGGTCTCAAGCCTGGTTCACCCCCCCACCCCACCCCCTGGGGGTGAGCCTTACTGTCCTTCTCTCTAAAAGGGGCTGGCATCTCCTCAGCTAGCTAGCTGCACTGAAGAGGCTCCCTCGCTCACACAGAGTCCAATGTAGGCATGGTTGGGCCGTGCCTGCGGACTGAGCCTCCCCTATGGCCAGCCTTTGACTGGGGCACAGCAGCGCCTAGGCTAGTCAGAGAACAGGCAGCAGCCAAGTAAGGAATCCGAGCACACCTATTATGTGCTGCGCTCCCTCCTCCCCATTTACTCCTTGGGCTTATCCAGCTCTGGAGGCCTTTGGAACCTCTTTTTAAAAAGCATCTGTGACATAAGCCAACCGCAAAAGCACACGTAGTCCATGACCTCACTGACCGGAGGGGTCTCCAAGCACGTGGCATCAAAGGCTCATGAACTTTCTGAGATGACAAGCATAGGTCCTGTGTGGACTCGTGTATAAGCCAAGCTTTTCAGCACACTTTTTATGCCGTGCTTGTGGACAAATTACTGTAGGCGCCTCAACTGATATTCGGGTCGGCTGACACTCGAGCGTATAGGTAAATCTACAGAGACCAGTGGAGAGTAGTGGAGACCCAGGGAGAAAGAAGAAGCTCATTCTCGGGAATGTTGTGACCTTGTTTCTAGGGTGACGGGGGATCGGCATCCTTTCATGGTAAGGGCTACAGGGTTACATGGTGTGACAAAGGTAAGTGAGATCACTAAGCTGCCCACACACAAGAAGAAGGGCAAGACGACAAGTGGACGGCGCTGACACGGACACCACCACAGAACAGGAGGCACTTGCTGAACCAGACGCCTCATGGGAGTAGTTCATGCGACCTAAAGTTCACAGCTTCAAGGACCTGGACAGGCAACTTGTGTGACGTTATTTGTAGAGTTTCTGCTCTACTCTCTCCTCCTGGGAGCCCTGGTGCTGTAGGTGCGACGTGTTGGACGGCGAGCTATAAAGTCAGCTGTTGGAAACCACCAGCCACCGTGAGGGAGAAAGATGAGGCTTCCTGTTCCTGTAAAAAGTTACAGTCTGGGAAACCTGGGGCAGTTCTACCCATCCTGTAGCATCGCTGTGAGTTGGAACTGACCTGATGGTAGTGAGGGTTGGTGTTGGCTTTTTTTTCGGGGGGGGGGGGGGGGGGGGGGGGGGGGGGGGGGCAGAGGGGGGGTTGGGCAGGAAGGTAAAAATAAGCAATCACCATGACCAGCCTCTGTCCTTTGAGAAAAATCTATCAAGATGACCCCTTCGGAATCCCCCCAAAGCACTTGTCGTAGCCTTCTGAGCTGCCGTGTCTGCTTGGATTTAACCGGCCTGCAGCCCCCACTGTTTGGACCGGATATTTTGGGGAAGAATTCTGGTACGAAGAAGACAAGTGTATTACTGAGAGAACTTGTTTGCAGCCAGCCACTGGATCAGAGAAGCCTGTTTAAACATGTTTTATTTGAACTAAAACCGTGCACATAAGAGCTGGAGCCCTAGAAGCAATCGTTTTTGCCTTACCCTAGTGTAGCCTGCAGGAGCTCTGGCGGCATAGTGGTTCTGCGTTGGGCTGCTGTCCGAAAGGTCAGCAGCTCAAAACCACTTAGCTGCCCCATAGGAGAAAGAGAGGGTTTTCTGCTCTCAAATCCAGTTACGGTCTCGGAAACTCAGGGACTGTTCTACCCTGTCTCACAGGGTCACTATGATGTGGTGGCCATGAGTGAGTGTAGCCCAGAGGGCAATGACACAAACAGACATGCATGTCTGTGCTCATCACAGCACGATTCACAATCGCAGAGATAGAAATAGCCTAAGTGCCCTGGACGGGAAAGTGGATACACAAGCTGTGGTCCACACGTACCATGAAGCACCACTCTAAAGATGAATGAGGGGTCTGAGACACAAATCTCAGGTGTATCTGGAGGACACGATGCTGAGTGAAGGAAGTCAATCCAGAGTGACACATATCTGGTTTCATTTTTATAAAGTCAAGAATAGGTGTGAGCACAGGAAGCAATGGTCTTTGATGGCTACCAGGGACGGGAGGGGGAAAGATGGCAAATCACTGCATAGATTGTAAAACGAGTCAAATCCACACCCATCGAGTCAATGCTGACTCTTACCAGCCCTCTGTAGGCTTTCCCAAACGATGCATCTAGATGAGCGTAGAGTCTCACCTTTCTCCCACCGAGCAGCTAACAGGTTTGAACCTTCAGCCTTGCAGTTAGCAGCCCAATACCTAGCTGACAGCACCACCAGGGCACCTTTTATTGACAGTAGACATTGATTTGGGGTGATGGGAAAGGCAATACCCAATTTGGGCAAAGTCTGCCACAACTTTTCTAGGGTTAGTGAAGACATGGAGCGTGAAAGATAGGGACAACTTACTGTATCACATATCATTACGCAACAAAGGTAGATAGGAGACATAAATGCATATCTGTGGATAGCAAGGTACATGTGAGTATATGGGTGTTCACATACAGACATATATGTGTTTATGTGTGCTGTATATATGTTTTAAATCTCATCAGGTGCACAGTTATGGATACTAACTAGACATAACAGCTTAGAGTAGGGTTAGCTTATGGGGTTTGACGCCTTGGGACAGGTGGGACAACTTAGTCAATTGACACAAGATATTTCATCATTTTCAACACCCTAGATTGATGCGTAATCTCTGGGGTCTTAAAAAAGCTTGTCAGTGGGTCTCTAAGATTTAATTTTTGGTCTCTTCCCATATGGACAGAGCAGAGTGAAGGAAACCAAAAATTCAAGAAAAAATTAGTCCATAGGACTAATGGCCCACAAGAAGAGTAGCATCCTAACTTAAGACCTAGAGGTGGTTGGCTCCACTGCTGACTACTCTGACCAGGGACACAACAGAAAGGCTCCCTTAGAATGAGCTAACATTTTAAAACCAAACTCAAATTCCTGAAATTAAGGTCTGACATATTGGACTAATAGAGACTCGAGGGACTCCTAAGAGATCACCCTTAAAATATCACCTATCACCTTTGAACTTGGAACCGAAGCCACTCCGGTGGTCACCTTTCATCCAAATACTAGATGGCCTTATCCAATAGATAATCTCACCCATGAATACTGTGTCCCCTTAAATAATCAACTATAGAAGACCAAACGATGAACCTTTACCCGGAACAGAAACGAAGGGCTAAGGAGGGCCGGAAGCTAGATGAATGGAAACACATCAAGAGGTCAGAAATAATGAGGATGTGGACACATTGTGAAAAATCTAACCAACCAGCTACATAAAAATGCTAGATGGGAACCTAATTTTCTGTGTATCTTTCCTCAAAAACACAAATCAGATTGTCTAAAAAAAGAGAAAACATGACAGCAGCATGTGAAAGATACAGCCCATGTCACTGAACATTACATGCAGACATCGTTGAATGGGTGTATGATTGGCTGGGTACAATTTCACCCCCAACAAAAATATTCTAAAAAGAAAGAAATGAGGACTCTGAGGTTCAGGGGAGTTGTCTCCCGCGGTCACACAGCTAGTGAGTGATCAAGCCAATGTCCACACATGGATTTCTGGGACTCCTGAACACCACCGCGGTTAGATGAGGGCTGGTGGTGGGGGACCATCACTGGGCCCCCTTGAAAAACAGGCTGCACGTTCCCAGGAACACAGAGGCAAAACTGTTTGTTTGTTTCTGTTTTTGCTCTATCCCCATCAACCAGCATTGACATGGCACAAAGCAAGAATTTGGTGAACTGGGCAATTGGTTTGTTGAGTGAATTTAAAAACTAATATCTTTGGGAAGGGAGGGGAAAAATGAGGAGCTGATACCAAGGGCTCAAGTAGAAAGTAAATGTTTTGAGAATGATGAGGGAAACAAATGTACAAAAGTGCTTGACACAATGGATGCATGTGTGGATTGTGATAATAGTTGTACAAGCCCCCAAATAAAATGATTTAATTATTAATAAATAAAAAAAACTAATATCTCCCAGTGGTGGTTGTAAAAAATTTTACACGTATAACACCTTGGCTGATTTTATGTTTCTGATTGGACTTTGCTTGTTTGTCGGATCATTCCCTTTCCCACCCACCCGCCTCATGGAAATGACGTAAGAACCTCTCATTCAGTGAGATTTATTATGTTGGCATCTGTGAGAGAATTCCTATAAATAAGCTCACAAACCAAAAACAGGGAGAAAAGAGGTGGGAGACTCTTGTCCCGATAAGGCGGGGTAAATGACGTTATGGTTCTAGGCATCCAGCTCCTGATTTTCAAGGTGGCAAAGATCGGCAGGGAGCAGGGACCTCAGGACTCCTGTCCTGCTGAGCAGCTTCAGTAACCTGTGGTCCAGTGCCTAGCGTCCAAAGCCCCAAGTTCAGACGATGCTTGGGGACACCATCGCCCAAATAAAGAGATGAGAATCGTAGTATGTGAGTGGAAGGTTCTGGAAATTCAGGGCAGGCAATTAAATTATTGGTTGACTCTACTCTAGCAACCTGAGGATCTCATTCCTGGACTCAGCTTTAAGCAGTGGGCGCAACCTCAGGGAAGACCTGTGCTAAGTAAACAGCTGGAGGCACTCTGAGCAGAGGGGTCTTTGATTCTGGGGTTTTAAGGTCTGCCTCGGTTCTACCCCAATACCCTCAGTACAGCTGGCCTGGGGTCTTCCCCCTTCCAGTGTTTCAGGTGGAGCCCTGAGCTGAGAGGTGGAAGGCAAGGCCAGAGAGCGGCTTCTGATGTCCAGACCTGAGACCTGGAGGGGGAGGCCCTAGGTCCACCTAGGTCCACAAGGGGGGTGGGGTCCTCTCCTTGTGGGGAGCTGACGTTAGGGTCTTGAGAAGAGAGTGATTGGCTCAGGGCTGACTCAGGTGCGTCAGCAGGTCGATGAGGGTGTCCGGGATGCTGGGCTGGGGGCCCTGCTGGGCACTACCAGCCAGGCGCTTTGAGTGTTGGACTAGCTCCCGGGCGAAGACAGGCTCCACCTGTGGGGGAAGGTGGGGTCATGAGCAGGCTTTGTCCCTGTCCTTAGCAGCCCCTAAGCTCTCCTCTAAGAAGCCACAGTCCAAGTAACGGCCCCGCCCCACATCCCTTTCACAAGCAGGGTCACACAGAGCAGGGGGTCACATCCAATAGGTCAGGAGCCGCCACAACTGGAGGGAGCTCATGCTGGACCACGGGGAGGGACTCTCTGGAGTTCCGGGAGAGGTATGGCGAGGGGGCCACTCACGTGGGCCATGACGAGCCGCTCCTCAGGCCGGCCTGGAGGGCCCGGGTACTCCTCCCCAAAGCACAGGCGGATCTGGTACTCAGGCTCGGGGTGGCCATCCCGCAGGTGGGCACACAGTTCTATGGGCACCGAGACTTGTGGGGGTTGGGCCAGTATGGGTTCCCCACCCAGTACACACCTTGTGCTCATATCTCGAGCCCAGGTCCTGGAAGCCCTGCCCCACTGAGAGCCTGTGCCACTCCCACGTCGCCAAGGCCACTCGCTGCCACTACCACATATTTCACCAAACCAAACCCACAGCCACAGAGTCGAGGCCGACTCACTGCGACTGCACAGCACAAGGTGGAACTGCCCCTGTGGGTTTCTGAGACTAACTCTTTACGGGAGTAGAGAGCCTCCTCTTTCTTCCATGGAGTGGCTGGTGGTTTCTTATTTCACCACTTAGGGCTTATTTTGTGCCCAAGTACCCCGATGCCCACCACATGCCCTGTAACCGGACTAACACATGTGTCCAAATCCTATGCTCACACTCACGACCAGCACCCCCCCACCCCCCTCCGTGCCTAGGTCCCCGTGCCCAGCCCTCATGTCCACCTCTGTGCCCAGCCCTTCAGATTTGTGCCCACTCTTAGTAATTCTGTGCCACGTCCTGACGTAGCCTGAAGTCCACTCCGTGTCCACATCTCGTGTGTCCACTCACCTCTCTCGACGTTCCTGTTCCGGACCCAGACCCAACGCGTGGAAGCCCTGTGCCCTGGCCAGCCCGCCCCCCGCTCGCCGCGCGCGCTCTCACCCGCCAGGAAGCGACGCGTGTCCAGTAGCTGGCAGGTGCGCTCCCGCTCTAGCTTGTTGGGTCGCGCGCGGTGCGGGGCGAGCGGGCCGCGCCAGTACACGCGGCCCTGGCACTGGCGCTTAGCGAACACGCCCTCGGGCGCCACCCACAGCAGCACGCCGCGCTCCAGGTGGGGCCACAGGTGCTGCAGCGCGCGCGCCCCCGGCGGCGGCTTGGGGAACCGCACTTGTTGGATGCGCGGAGGCGGGCCCAGCAGGTGCTCGGTGGCGGGGTGGGCGGAGGCCCGCGAGCTCAGACGACAGCCCTCCGCTGTGCGCGCCGTGGCCTCGCGCACCAGCTCCGCGCCGTAGAAGAGTCGCACATGCAACCAGCAATCTGCGGGGACCGGGAGGGGCGCACCCCGCAGGCGGTTGGGGCGCGGGCTCCTGCCATTCCACCCCCCACCCCCGTTCACCACTCCCCCTCCCACCCCCATCTACTTCGCTCACACCTTGCCACCATGGGACAGGGGACCTGGAGGCCCATAGAGGAAGAGACAGTGGTATCTAGATCCATAGTTAGGGCTGTGAGCTTTGCAGCCAGACCCTTGAATTCTTTCTCTCACTAAAGATCTTGACCTGTTGCTAGTTCTCCCAGGGTTAGAAGCTGTGTAACTGTAGACAGGGAGCTTAATCTGTGCCTCTGTCCAACGGGGACACTGGCAGTATCTGCCTCACAGAGCGCTGGAAACCCCTTAGCATGGTTTCTGGCAGAAATGAAGCCCTCAACAAATGCTAGTGGAGGCTGTTAGTGGGTGGCTTTGGGTGGGAGGCAGCCAAGGCTCAGGAAAGGGCCTTTCATTCCTACCTGGGTTGCTGAACTCTTCAGAGGGGGCGGAGCTCCAGGAGAGGGCTGGTTCCTGAGCCTGGTACCCTGGGGGAGGAGAGGTAACAGTCAGGCACATCAACCTGGGAGTTAGGGGAGGCAATAAGGAGGCTGAGTGAGTAAGGGGAGCCCATCCTTACTGTGGTCAGCCAAAGGGCTTGGCAGCAGGGCTGCGGGTGGCAAGCAGCCCACCTTGTCCTCTTCTTCCGTGGCTACTCCAGAGCTGTCCTGAGCATGGGGAGGGAGGGCCATGAAGGTGGGGTAGGGGCCCACCATCTATGGGTGATAGGAGTTTCAGATTGTCCCCCTTAGGACAGAGGGAAACCTGGGCACTGAACCACAATGGCTTAATAGGACCTTTGAGGTTTCAGACCACAGGACCCATCCCACCCACACCCCACAACATTCAGTGGGGGCAGCATGAAGAGAGAGATGAGTTGGGAGTTGGGGTGATGAGGTCAGGAGGCCTTATGACAGTGGGAAGAGAAGTGCTGGTGAATGAAGAGACAAGGAAGGGCGTGAGGGAGCTAGAGGGGCCAGAGTTGGGGGTCAGAGTGACAAGCAGATGCTGGGGTTACACTAGGGACCGTGGAATGAAGGCAGGGATGTTTAGGTAGGGGGGGGGGCTTGAGGATAAAGCAGTGACCCATAGATGATGGGGTGGAGGTAACAGGGGTGATAGAGTTGGATCTGAGTGGAGATGGAGTGAGGGAGCCGTGGATGATGGAGCATAGGGCATGGAGGAGGGGAAGGAAACAGAAAGCTGGAATGGGAAGAGTTGGAAGAGGCAGAGTGGAGGTAGGACAGCAGTTCTCAACCTGTGGGTCTCAGACTCCTTTGGGGGCCGAACGACGTCGGCCTAAGATCATCGGAAAACACAAATTTCCAATGGTTTTAGGAACCAAGACACCGCTCCTCTATCCGTCTCCAGGTGGGTCCGCCCACATGCAGATACGCCCAGATAGGAGTATCCAGCATGAGGACTGTTACACATGCTACACCATGCTTCAAGACAAAGTTTCATGTATTTGTCATTAGAAATAAATATTTCGTGCATAAGCAAATGTGGTGAAGAAAGTTGATGGTGCCCAGCTATCAAAAAGTAT